CCACCACCACCATCCCCCGTACCTCATCCTCCTTATGTCTACAAGTCCCCACCACCACCATCTCCCTCACCTCCACCCCCATACGTGTACAAATCTCCACCTCCACCATCACCATCCCCGCCACCACCTTATGTGTATAAGTCTCCTCCTCCACCAGTACATTCTCCTCCCCCACCGTACTACTATAAGTCTCCTCCTCCACCGGTACATTCTCCACCACCACCATACTACTACAAGTCTCCTCCTCCACCGGTGCATTCACCACCACCACCATACTACTACAAGTCTCCTCCTCCACCGATGCATTCACCACCACCACCATACTACTACAAATCTCCTCCTCCACCAGTGCATTCACCACCACCATATTACTACAAATCTCCTCCTCCACCGGTGCATTCACCACCACCATACTACTACAAATCCCCACCACCACCAGCCAAATCCCCTCCTCATTACTACTACACTTCTCCACCGCCACCAACTCCCTACCACCCCTACCCCCATCCAAGCCCTCGCCACCACGAAGTAATCGTAAAGGTGATCGGTAAAGTCTACTGCTACAGCTGCTACGACTGGAAATACCCAATCAAATCTCACGCGAAGCACCATCTCAAAGGTACAATCTTTAATTAGTTTTAACAAGGTGTGGCCTTACATCGTATAATATTAAGCTGGCTAGCTAGGATCGATGCATGTGGTTGCATGGTTTGACCTGTGTTCTATTCTTCTGGTTTTCCACATCCCTTTAGTTTGTCCACATGATCAAGATTATTTTATTTATATTTTTTAATAAATTCTTACAAAATTGTTGTCATTTAGAATTTTCGATTCCTCACATCATTTAATATATTTTGCTATTTAATTAATTAATGATGAGATTTCAATGATAAAAGTTAAAATTTTAAAACCTTTTAAATTGGACATAATTAAAATTTCCCATATTAAGTAAATAGGTTTCAATTTCATCTACATTTATACAATAACTTAAAACACATATATTTAATTCTTGCAAAAAGGAATATTACTGAGAGAGGGACATGTGATACTTTAAAATACCTTGTGGATATTGGAGCATATTCTTTAAGCCCTGCTTTTAAAATCATATCTTGATCGATTATTATCATATATAAAAAGCAAATGGATTATTATTAAAAGTTTTGATAAATGATTAAATAATATTTGGATCATAGGCTATCAATTATTGGAGAGTGTTAATTTATTAAGGGTTGACCAAAAGAAACAAGATGTTGACGTGTATTTTATTTGTGTGGCAAAGGTGCTGTCGTGGAGGTAACATGCAAGGCTGCTGGTGAGAAGAAAATTGTTGCATACGGAAAGACGAAGATCAATGGGAAATTTGCAATCACTGTTGAGGGTTTGGATTATTCCAAATATGGAGGAGCCGAGGCTTGTATTGCCAAGCTTCATATGCCACCAAATGGTACCACTTGTAACATCCCAACAAATCTCCATGGAGGTTTGAAGGGTGCTAAGCTTAAGGTCAAGTCCAAGAATGCTCACCTAGTTGTCCTTTACGCTAAACCATTTGCTTACGGTCCCAAGACTCCTTACAAGATTTGTGAGAAGCCAAAGCCAAAGCCAAAGCCAACACCAACTCCAACTCCTTACTACTACAAGTCTCCACCACCACCCTCGCCCACTTACCTTTACAAGTCTCCACCGCCACCAACACCCACTTACCACTACAAGTCTCCACCACCACCAACCCCTTCACATCCGACACCGTATATCTACAAATCACCTCCACCACCGACAAAATCGCCTCCTAGCACTCCATACCACTACACACCACCACCACCACCAAAGGAGTCGCCTCCTTACTACTACACATCACCTCCACCACCCAAGAAGTCACCTCCTCCTCCTTACCACTACACATCACCTCCACCACCCAAGAAGTCACCTCCTCCTCCTTATCACTACACATCACCTCCACCACCCAAGAAGTCGCCTCCTCCACCATATTACTATACCTCACCCCCACCACCAAAGAAGTCGCCTCCTCCCCCTTACTACTATACCTCACCTCCACCACCAAAGAAGTCCCCTCCCCCACCATACCACTATACATCACCACCACCGCCGAAGAAGTCTCCTCCCCCACCATATCACTACACCTCACCACCACCACCTAAGAAGTCGCCTCCTCCACCTTACTACTATACCTCACCTCCCCCACCAAAGAAGTCCCCTCCTCCACCTTACTACTATACCTCACCTCCCCCACCAAAGAAGTCCCCTCCCCCACCATACCACTATACATCACCTCCACCACCTAAGAAGTCTCCTCATCCACCATACCACTACACTTCACCACCGCCACCTAAAAAGTCGCCTCCTCCTCCTTACCACTACACATCACCACCACCACCCACAGAATCTCCTCCTCCACCATACCACTACACCTCACCACCACCACCTAAGAAGTCACCTCCCCCACCATACCACTACACGTCACCACCACCACCTAAGAAGTCGCCTCACCCACCATACCACTACACATCACCACCACCACCTACTGAATCTCCTCCTCCACCATACCATTACACCTCACCACCACCACCTAAGAAGTCACCACCCCCACCATACCACTACACCTCACCACCACCACCTGTGAAGTCACCTCCCCCACCGTACCACTACACATCCCCTCCACCACCTACAGAATCTCCTCCTCCACCATACCACTACACCTCACCACCACCACCTAAGAAGTCGCCTCCTCCACCATACCACTACTCATCACCACCTCCACCTACGGAATCTCCTCCTCCACCATACCATTACTCCTCACCTCCACCACCTAAGAAGTCACCTCCTCCACCATACCACTATACATCACCGCCGCCACCTATAGAATCTCCTCCTCCACCATACCATTACTCCTCACCACCTCCACCTAAAAAGTCACCTCCTCCACCATACCACTACACATCACCCCCACCGCCTGTGAAGTCACCTCCTCCTCCATACCACTACACATCTCCTCCACCACCCACAGAATCTCCTCCTCCACCATACCACTACTCCTCACCCCCACCTCCTAAAAAGTCGCCTCCTCCTCCTTACCATTACACATCGCCACCGCCACCTACAGAATCTCCTCCTCCACCATACCATTACTCCTCACCCCCACCACCTAAGAAGTCACCTCCACCACCATACCANCCACCATACCACTACACATCGCCACCGCCACCTACAGAATCTCCTCCTCCACCATACCATTACTCCTCACCCCCACCACCTAAGAAGTCACCTCCTCCACCATACCATTACACATCACCGCCGCCACCTACAGAATCTCCTCCTCCACCGTACCATTACTCCTCACCACCTCCACCTAAGAAATCACCTCCTCCACCATACCACTACACATCACCACCACCACCTACAGAATCTCCTCCTCCGCCATATCATTACTCCTCACCCCCACCGCCTAAGAAATCACCTCCTCCACCATATTACTACACATCACCCCCTCCACCAGTAAAATCGCCTCCACCTCCCGTGTATATCTACGGTTCTCCTCCACCCCCAGTTTATTAGGCTTCCATAAATTGGTCTCTTGCAAACTATAATTATGTAAGTATTACTAACTGTTACTTATACATTATTGACCATTTATTTTACTAATACTAAAAACCCAATTTCTATAACACATCAATAACTAGTTGATGTTTATTTTTGCAGGCTTTATTTCGGGTACTAGTACAATAAAGAAGGCTCCACAAGGAGATGTTTGAAAGCTAGTTCATCTACACCCATTCCGTTTCTAATAAGGTCTTCAACGTTGCACTCCACGACACCAATCTTTTATGTTGTGACCATTTCTTTTCTATTACGTCGTTGTAAGACATCTCTATACGAAGAAATGTTGGAAGGGTTAGATATTTATTACGAAAAAAAAATATGAATTGGTTACCGTTGGAAGAGGGTTATAAGAGTGTTTGTGGCTTTTTCATTGTTTTTTTTCCATGTTAAATTTATCATTGTATAAATAGGTAGATGATGGTATTTATATATATATGATTGATTAATTTCATCCTTTTTTTTTTCTTTCCTTTCTTGTGGGCTCTTGTGTGATTTTTATAAGCCTATCCTTTTATTTTACATGTATTTAAGAAGCTTAATTATTCATTATCATTTGTTAATTAATCTCCAAAAGAATTATAAACACTTTAATTTTGTGAATACATGATACATTAATATACATTGAATGTATTATATATATATATATATATATATGTGTGTGTGTGTGTGTGTTGAATTCCGGTGAGAATGAAAGTTAAAATGAGAAGTGTATGAATAGATTGGATGCACATTAGGATGAGTTATACCGAATCAATCCTTGTATCAAGCACGATTCACGGGTGAGTTTGAGATTAAAGGTGATTAAGGGTCCAGATTTCTTCTTACGCATCTCAACTTAACTCTTCTTCTCATACGATCATTCGTTATACACACACACACACACATACACACACACACACACACTTACATACAGATGAGTAATCAAATACAAACCGCCCCAATTTGTACAAATCTTACAAACTAATTACAATCAATCACATAAGTCCATTTGTTTTTTTTTAATTTATAAGGTTATTATGGTCATTTGAATTTACAATAGTTATGTTTGGTAATTATTTAAAATTAAGAGATAAGTTTGGTAACATCATAATATTTATATAAATATGGATGATATATTGATTAGCACAATATTAACAAAGATTTAATTGAGGTATCCATTAATTTTTTGAAAAAAATTGCCACATTTTAAAAAAACGTAGAATAATTTTGTTTGAAAAAACCGTCACTGATTTCCAATGAAACAAGCTGAAATTGTTCAATAAAACAGAGTAATTTCCAATGTAATAGGCTCAAACTGTTTAATGAAAAAGAGTCATATATGATTGTATCAGGTTCATGTGTATAACAGCTGCAATGAAACAAATTTATATTTATAGGTATGTAAAACAATTTGTAATTAAACAGATTCATATGTATAACAACTATAATGAAACAGGTTCATAAATGATATATGATTGTATCAGGTTCATATATGTATAACAGCTGTAATAAAACAAGTTCATAGAACATGTTTTTTCTCGTTTTGTTCTTCCGTGTCTCCAATATCAATTCTTTTTTCTTTTATTTTTTTACTTTACTTATTTAATTTGTTTCAATCTTGACCTTTCATCAGAAAAATAGATTGATATGATGTGATTAGTTTGTAAGGTTTGTATGAAATAAATGGTTTGCAAAATAAACCTCTATTTATTTTAAATGCATTATATGCTTAAAATACTTGATTAAAAGTTGAAATCCATCGTCATGAGTTGCTATTTAGGGTTGGTTACACCAAATAACAACAAATACCATTTTTTTTGGATAATCAATTATTAAACGTTATTAAATTTATGAGTTAAAAGACAAATATCCAATCTCGCTAATTGATGGTTACATTTAGCTTACATGGCACGTCAATGTTGACATCTTTTTATTTTATTTTTAATTTACAATAAGGTTAATTTACAAACATTTTTGTATAACTTTTAAAATTTCAAGTCATTTTAATGTATATGTACAAACCTATTAACATCTGGTACTTGTGCAAGTATACCATTTAATTTTATTAATAAAGTGATCAAGTGTCTAGATCTCTTCTTACACATCTCACCTTAATTCTTCTTCTCACACGATCATTCATCACATATATATATATATATATATATACACACACACACACAGAGATGAGCTATCAAATGCAAACCGCCCTAATTTGTACAAACCTTACAGACTAATTACAATCGATCACATAAGCCCGTTAGTTTTCCTTTTTCCCAATTTATAAGGGTATATTATGGTCATTTGAATTTACAATACTTATGCTTGGTAATCATTTAATATTAATAGATAAATTTGGTAACAACATAATATCTATATAAATATGGATGATATATTAATTAGCACAATATTAACAAATATTTAATTGAAATATCCATTAATTTTTTGAAAAAAAAAATGGTTACATTTTAAAAAATGCAGAATAATTTATAAAAAAATACCACCTCTCATTGCAATCATGGACCAGTAACGTTGAAATAATTTCATCAATAACTAAAAAATTAATAATCATATGTATTAGTTTTTTAACGTTTAATGCATGGCTTTTGGATATCCAAAAAAATAGTTTTATGCTATTTCATACAATTAAACCTATAATGTAAATTGATTATTTAAGCAAGGGATCTATTTACCAAATCCATGTCTTGTGTTTTCATCAACATATATTTCTTCTGATAATGGTTAAATGTTGTTCTGTTTTCAACAATTTATTTATAGACCTGCTTAATTAATTTCCCGTTCTATAACAAGTAAGCAAATCTAAATTGCTTGTAACTTGAAATAAGTAAACATATGATAAAACGAAGACTTAAATGGCATCCAGATGATGATCAGATCATCATAATTCAAACAACGAAGATAATAAACAATAGAAAGTGATAGATGACATTTTGAATCCAAGAAATAGGTGATTAATTAAGTAATCAATCAATCAATCAATCAATCATACAACTGTTTTGATCCCATGATGGGATCATGCTTTATTTCCTCACCACCTCCTATTCTTTTTTCCTTATTGTTTCCATACCCCCACCTACTTCAAACATTAAAATAAGTTTATTTTATTTTTTATTTTTAACCTTTTATATTTTTAGTTTTAACCCTTTAACTTTCTGAATACTTTTCTTTTATATCCTTTACGTTTTTTTT